TGTGATTATCTAGAACCTAAATGCCAAGTCCTTCCACTAGACAGGATTTTTGCTGTACTAAATATCTATGAGGAAGAACTAGAGGGAAGACAGTTTGTTAAATAGAGGGCTAGTTTTATTTTTTTCTTTCCTTCCTTCCTTTCTTTTTCTTTCTTTCTTCTTTTTTTCTTTTCCTTTATGCGACAATGAAGACGTGAGAGTTTTGTCTAGTTTTCTATTTAAAGCTTCTGTGAACACCTGACAAGCTGACAACAGGAAGGTATTGCTGGGATACATCTTCCAGACCAGACCCTGTCCTAAAGTCATTGCAGAAGCCGGGCGCGGTGGCTCACGCCTGTAATCCTAGCACTCTGGGAGGCTGAGGAGGGCGGATTGCTCGGTTCAGGAGTTCAAAACCAGCCTGAGCAAGAGCGAGACCCCGTCTCTACTATAAATAGAAAGAAATAATGGCCCAACTAATATATATATAAAAATTAGCCGGGCATGGTGGCGCATGCCTGTAGTCCCACTACTCGGGAGGCTGAGGCAGCAGATTCGATTGAGCCCAGGAGTTTGATGTTGCTGTGAGCTAACTGACGCCACGGCACTCACTCTAGCCTGGGCAACAAGCGAGACTCTGTCTCAAAAAAAAATAAAAATAAAGTCATTGCGGATTCTTCTCAGTCTCATTGCAAGCTCTACAGAAGCCACCCTGGCTAAATTCTGATTGCTCAGGAGACAGAGGTGGAGGATGGAGAAAACATATTCAGAAAACATAACATTCTGAATTTTTTTCTACTCTGAGGACCAGAATTTTGCCTCTTAACAGCCAGGGAGAAGCCCCCCATCCCAGGTGTTCAAATAGAGCAATGCTTTTGAGAGCAGCCAACTCTTCACTCTGGCATAAAACCCCAGTGCCCATGTCACCTGTGTAATAAATAACATCTGTAGAATGTGAATACCATACAGCTGGTGTGAACCGAAATCAGCCCTCCCCACTGGGCAAGCCCCTTCAACATCCTCTTGGCCCCAACTGCTCTTAGTCACAAAATTTGCCATTTTCTGCTCCCAGGTTTTTATAAACTGAAATTGCCCTTTCTTCATTTCAGCGATCCTATCACTTAAGTCCTTGGACTTTGTACCTGAAAAGTCTCCAAGATTCATTTTCTTTATGGAAATGTTTTTTTTGGGTTTTTTTTTTTGAGACAGAGTCTCACTTTGTTGCCCAGGCTAGAGTGAGTGCCGTGGCATCAGCCTAGCTCACGGCAACTCAAACTCCTGGGCTCAAGCGATCCTCCCTGCCTCAGCCTCCCGAGTAGCTGGGACTACAGGCATGCGCCACCATGTCCAGCTAATTTTTTCTCTCTATATTAGCTGGCCAATTCATTTCTTTCTATTTATAGTAGAGACAGGGTCTCGCTCTTGCTCAGGCTGGTTTCGAACTCCTGACCTCGAGCAATCTGCCCCCTCAGCCTCCCAGAGTGCTAGGATTATAGGCGTGAGCAACCGCACCCGGCCTAGAAATGCTTTTAATTTTCGATATGCTCTACAAAAATGCTTATAGCCTGCATCTCTTTTTAAAATCCAGGACAATTTTCATTGACTCATTCATTCAACTATTAGTGACTCCCCAATACATGCCAGGCATTGAGGATACAATGGTAACCACTTTATCACCCCATCTTTCGATCTCCTTTCTAGGAGTATTTCTTTTTGAAATATGCATGTCTATTTTATTTCCATTAGAAAAATATTAATTATATAAAATTTTGGTCCACTTCCTTCTCCTAGACCTCTACCATTCACATTTAAATACTTTAATTTTACTCAATTAAAAAAATCATAGATCTGACATGAGAACTAAATATTTCACATCATTAGTTCGATTAAGTGTGCTTTTGATTATTTCTCAGAAACAATAACTCATCTTTCCTACCCTTTATTTGAGTAACTATGTAAGAAGTATCTCTTTCCTACATTCAGTCTATGGATATACATTAAGTGTATTATACACACAGCAACTGGATGCATTATCTAATCTTCA